CTTAATCTAAGTACAGTTATCTCTAGGTATTTACTCGACATAAGGTCATTTTTTCCGTACGAATGGTATGTTCTTCTGAAACCATTGATTTCAAGTCGATATCATGGACTGACATCAGTTGGAGGAACATTGGAAACCTGGGATCACTGGACAGCTGTTCTATCCTAGTATGGGATTCCTCAACAGTGCTCACCGATGACCTCGCCAGGGATCGAATCCAGAACTTCCGGGTTCCGTGGCCAGCAAGTTGCCATTGAGCCACTGGGTTAGAATCAAGTGATCCATATTTCCAACTTTTGTCAGTTCATGACTTTGCGTGACCATCGCCCATTGTCATCGTTGAGTATTTGTCCTCACGGCCACCTGGTTTGCACCACCGGTCACGACTTTTCATTGGAACTTCAGGAATCGCCCCTCGAAACTATTCACCAGTGAGCGCTAGATTAATTCAGTTTGGGGGTTTGTGAGGATTCATTGACCCCTGCCGGGGTCATGGGTATGCACTGCTAAGGAGTCCTATACCAAGACGAAACATCTGTCCAGGGCTTCCAAGTTTCGAATGTTCCTCCAACTGATGTCAGCCCATGATGAGTACCAACTTGGAATCAATAACCCCGAAAATCCCCCAGATTGAAATCATTGACTCATTTGTTTTTTAACGTTATTTCCTCATTCATTTCTGTCCCACTGCTTTGAAAATATGTGATCGGCATCTCTTATCTACACATCGGTTGCTTATTCGTTCATCTGTATACAAACTGATTCGAAGTGGAGGCCATAAATACTAGGAGTTTATTTCTGTCAAGCGACTTATGCCTGCACATTCATGGCTATTTTTATCTGGTTATTTTATCATTAACTTGGTTGACATTTATGTTAGGGTTACTGATTTCACTCCTAGGATGTTTCTAAGTCACTACCTTATTATGATGACTAAAAAGTTGATTAGTCAGTGTCATTTCCTTATCTTACATTCATTCAAGTGTTATCACCATTCATGATCATATTTTGGGACGTCTATATCAACTAGAACTGTCGTCATTTAGAGTCGTGTTTTAATCCTATCAACGGATGTTGGAATACTTTGTTTGTTCCATCACCTCTTTTTCCTCCGAGTTAGTTGCATCTGGTGATTACTTTTACATCAGATGATGTATTTCTGGGCACAATGAAAATAATCATTCAGTCAGCCAGTTCACGAAGAAACAACAACTTCGATGGCCTAGTAACAATAAATACAATGTAACAGCCAGTCATATGTCTGGGGAGCTGTGCCCCATTGGTCTAGGGACTCGATTTTCAGCCGATTTGTCACGGGTTAGAGTTCCACTCCACCTACCGAGGTTTGGGCATTGAAGTAGCACTCTTAACCTCATTGCCTACAGCATGACTTTTTACAAGATTGTTGAGTGAATTTCTTCAGTTACATACTCATATTATACGCTATGAGGCACATTCGTTATATATGGGCCTATGAATTTGCTCAGTTGCCCAGGTCGGAGTAGATGGGGCTGGGACCAACTGCTTGAAAGTGAAGTACTTGAGCAAATAAGGTTTTTGAGAGTCTTCGCACGTTTTACATATGCTTCTGTATAGGGTTAGTGTCCTCCATTTTTCGATAGTTCTTCATTTGTGTAGATAAAATAGCGGCCAATGTATAGTGTTTTGTTGTGGCATAAAAATATAGTGATTGCATGACCCACTGACTTAAAAAGTTATTCAATAGAATGAAAGAATTATAAAGGAGGGGGGGGGGGCTTTCTAAAACGCAAAAGTTTAAAATCATGAAAGGAGCAGGGTTTGATCAAGTCTCTCTTGTTTTCAAGCCTTAGCTTTTTGAACTGAATCACTAAATATTCAGCAATTCAGAGTAAGTGGACATACACTAACTTTGAAAAGTTTCTTTTCACTTTGTAAATAACTTTCAAAGAGTAGATGGTCGTTGACAATGGATGACCATTGTCGATATTTTACATTCTCACAGAAAAAAATAAGGTTGTTCAGCTTAGTAAATGAAATCTTGGGAAAGTCTCTTTGCTGGACCACTGTATTGATTTCCTTAAAAAGTTATCATACACGACTTAGATTTGAAACCAGTGACGATCATGATATAATTTACCTTATGTTCTCTCATTTTAAAAGTAGCATGAAATTACTAAAAGCTTTTCAAGCTTATCTAGTGTAAGTCGTTCTCCTCTCCTATTCATCCATTTATTTTTATCTCCCTTTTCTAAATATGTTTTTAAAAAATCCTGTCATATTATTTCATGTGGCATGTTTCTTGGTGTATATTTTGCTTGCAACGGGTTCAAGTAAGTAAATGAATACAATAAAACTCTATTGGAATGAAAACAGCCTAGCTTCTGTTAACCTATTGGAAGTTACTTATCATAACAATTTAGCAGTGAAATCATGATCATCATCATCAATATCAACATAGGACCAGACATTACTGCGTAACGGTCCGAGTTGCCACACCTCATATCAGTACATCAAGTAGAAAGGTATTGAGGCGCAAGATGAAGATAAGTGAATGCATCCAAAAGAAATATAAAGTACTGAAAGAGAGAAAAGAAGAATGAGAAAATGGTGAGATTCGGAATAGCGTCGTTAACATGAGGATAATGTGTGTGGGGTTACATCTGCGCCACTGACATCGGTTCTCAGCCATGTGATCACCTAGAGTCAGTCTACAACCACTGGTCCCTCTTGTCCTGCGGACCCCAACCACCTAGTCTGCATCGCCCCACGTGGCTTAAACCAACAGTCAGAGACTTCATACATTGGTGCCATGTTTTAGTCTGGCCACCTCGGTCCTTTTTCTAGCCTGGACCTACTTCAGCCAACATTCTGTGAAGAGGTAATCGGCAACTAGGCATACGTAATACGTGTCCCAACCAGCTATCCCAGTCGATGAAGGTTCATAACCTCATCAACTGATTTACCTCTACTCCCTAAAACTCTACACCCAACGTCTGCGTTACTCGTGTGGTGACACCACGGGATACGGCGGCTTATACACTACGAAGGCAACGGTGGTCAAACACCTGAAGCCAGCCTTCTCATGTCTTCCACCTTCAATGGCCATGTTTCACAGCCATAGAGTAGAACAGACCGGACTGCTGTGCAGTACACGCGACCCTTAATAGACGATCGGATATCAGAGTGGATAGGACAGCACATCCTTCTACTTTTCCAGATGTTCCACTGTGTTGTTATCGTTAATTACCGTCTACTTCTAACATTATTCATTCTTTTCGTGATCTGTTTAACCTAGACAACGTTGGCGACGTTGATTGAAGGAAGTACAAGACCACTAGAAATGAAGAATAAGATTTATAACTAAGTTATAATTTTTTTTCACTACTAGATAGGCTTTTACCCTGTTAACCGGTTTTTGAGATCATATATTCCAGAATTATGTTAACCTGTACGCTTGTGTTGAAGTTGGCTCATTGGATTGATTCCCTCCATCTTATTACTTAACTTATCTCGTTGTTGCATTGCTTTTAAAAGAAAGTTTTCAACTCACAAGATGCTCTTGCTTTAGTGGAGTGGTTGGGAGTTTTCTTATCATTATTCTCCTTTTTCAGTCTTATCTAGGTGGAATATCGGTATCAGTTACATACGTCGGGGTGTCCGTATATTATATTTACTGTAGCTTATTCACCAAGTTTGGGCAGTTTCGTTTAACAGATGAATAGGCAGATTTTAGAGGTTTCCATTCGCTACTATAAATTGTCTTACCTTTCTAAAAAGCTCTAGTATATCATCCAAAAGATGCTATTAACTGATCAGAAATCTTAAGCATGTTACGATAACTTGACGTTTAACTTCAAACAATCCTAAGCGAGATATTGTTGTGTTAATTAGATCTTTTATCAAACTGAGTGGATTATAAAGTTAAGTGGTACTGATATACACAACAAGGTGATTATGGTCTTAATCTTCAGTTTCCTAACTGTTTCACCTCTTACAGCGTTGAACAGTTGCTTTGGTGATCTTTTCTTTTGGTAATTGCAAATCAATTTCATACGTTTACTGAATGGATATAAGTACAGATTTGTCATCAATAAGGTGTAATTATTTGCTTTTTTGGAGTTGTAGCTCATTAGTTTAAGCACTTAACTTTCAACTTATGTGTCATGGATTTGAACATCACTCCAATTACCGTGATTTAGACAGCCAGGTAGTATCACTAGCCTTCATATAATTTATGTGACTCATTGCCTACTTCACAAATGTGCATAAGGTTACTGAGTGGAATTCAATTCGATCTGAATATCACTCAACAATATCCTTTTCAACTTGTGTTTGTGATGAATCTTCTGACCGTAACTTCTATAAACTGTCATTCAATAAAAGCTGTTTAATTACTGATTTTATTCAATGTGTTAAATAAAATTGTATATCAGAGTGTTATTCTTATGTTTAGAGTTATTCTCGTTGTCCCACACCTAGAATGCAATCGTTTCGAAAGTATTTTATAAGATGTTTATGGATAATGCTCTGGCGTTTGAAGCAATCGCTTCTGTGTCCCGGTGGAAACATCATTCACTGGGAGGCAGGCACACCCAGCTGACGAGTCCCAAATAGGATGAAATGCGCATCCTGGATTCCACTGCTAGCCACTGCCCATCATTACTATACATAATTAAAACACAGGCATTATCGAGGCATCCGCAAAGTAGCCCAAATGCCAACAGAGACTGATCAATTCGGTCCAATCGACGATGGTGTCATACAAGCAATAACACTATGTTTATACTTTATTATTTGTCCATTAGAATTATAATTTCTCGAGATATATGACGAGCTATACTTATAAACTTATCATAATGATTCTGTTGTACTCTAATTATGGAATCGTCTTCCTGTTGAACGCACATGTTTCCACATTCATCTTGTCCTAAATGCCTTCATTATTTTATTTCATTTATCTATTTATTTACCTTTTGTGTTTATTTATCAGGTTCAGAGGAATATAGCACAATAAGATTATGTTTGTTAGAGGACTGAAATCGTATGGCATAACTAGTTTTTTGATCCCGAAAATCAGTGATCACTTACTACTCAAGGTTTTCAATTACAACAATGATCACTGCTATTTTCGTCAGTATTCAACTAAGATCATTCAGTGTGATGTAAAAAATTCTACTGAACAATCAACTGATAAAGTTTCATCATATCCGAAATATTTATCTTGGACGAATTCAAACGAATTGGCTCACTATCTTAGTCAGCGTGTAGTAGCTATAACTGAACATTTCGTTGTGATTGATAAACCACCTAATCTTTCTGTTTGGGGTCATTCGTTAGCTAAGCGTGAAGTTTATTCAACAATCGATCCTAAAGTAAGAAAGTGAAATTGTATTTCTGTGTAAATTAACATTTATACCCTTCAGTTAAAACTGAATGTCGTTAATAATGAGGTTTCGAACCAAAAATTAGGTTTTTTTTGTTACTCTTGCGATTCAGCTTCAGTTATAACATAATGCACTATTTGAGTGTGAACCATATTACATTGTTTTATCACTATATATACGTCTACGCAATTAATGTGTGTATAGTTGTGTAAAATAACTGGAATAAAGCTGTTCTATGAGTTGGATTATTAACATGTCTTCATCTATCAGAGTGAAGTTGTTCTGGGAACGTGTTAGAATTGAACATCAGTAAGGCCTACAGTACTGCAGTTTGAACATAACTGGTACACAGATGTGCGATTGATTAAAGTTTAACACATGTCCTGTTAACTGTCCACCGTTATAATCAGATTCGAGAATGTCTCTTTTATGCCACTCTTAATATCTTTGTAGCTTTAGTATATTAAATAAAATTTATTCATTGCAAGTCGCAGAATTGGGATCATTATCCGAATATCACTGCAAAAATAAGTTCTTAATTTAGCTTAACCGTAGACTGTCGATGACAATAAGAAAACACTTCCAGCTTCTTAAGTGATACTTTACAATTAATATAACGATTTGACAAATTATTCGGAGTAATGTAATGAACCAGGTATCAAAGAGGATACACTACATGGTATATGAAAGAAAGGAACTTTCTCCTTTGTTACTTTATATATATATATATATATATATATATATATATATATATATATATATATATATATATATATATATATGAAGCTAATGGTGATTTACCTTCTGCGCATTTGTAAGGCTACAGTGTACTGATTACTCGGTTGAATTGCCTCTTAGTATACTCACGTCTTCCCAAAGCGGTTTACGAAGTAAATTATTCAAGTGGAATTTTATAGACAGACCATTATCTTTGCGAACTCATTTAAAATTCTGAAATCCATTTCTGTACTTATTTGATCTCCATTTGTAAACGAAAAACCTCTAGTTTCTGTTTGGACAAGGAAGCAGGCAAAAAAAGACTCGAAGTTTACACAAAACAGAATCAGCAGAGAGCCTTGAACACAAGTGAATCACTTCAAAGTAACATGCAAAGAAAAGGTGGATAGAAAAAGACTGATATTAAAGAAGGCAAAGGTATGTGGGAAGAGAAGGAATTTGAAAATTAAGAATAGTGAAAATGTTCAAGCTTTAGATGACCTTAAAGAGTGGATGCCGCTGCACCACTGTGACTGATTTCCAGCCATTTCATCATGAGTCTACAACTATTGCTTCTCATGCTCTTGAGTACCCCAGCCAGGTAGTCAACACCTTACACGGCTCAAATCAGAGAGTTTATGGACTGATGCTACATCTTTGTCTGGTCATCTTGATCCTTTTCCCAATGTAATTCAGCTTCTGTTAGCTGACACAAAGATGGAACTTTTTAAGTTAATGCACTCTGTAAGGATACAGTAAGAGAAAACGAGCGGAAATAGAAAGATATCAAAATAAGGGACAAGGATTTGAAAGGAGTGAAGCGAATAACTGAAACCTAATAAAATATTCAGAAACTTGAAGAGAATTAAAAGTGGAAATAACACTGGACCACCGTAATCGATTTTGAACCTGATCATAAAGAGTTCTGAACGATTGACACGTAGTATCTCACGGAATCTAGGTTGATAGTCTGCATTTGCTTCGATGTGATAGGAACACCAACTAAGCTATCTCAGAAAGATTCATATAACTGAATATCTTTTCTTTTGTGTATCATCCACCTAATTATCAATCCGTATCGAAATGGAAAACGTCGAAATCCACTAAGCAACCTTGTGCGAATTCCTGTAGTAGGCAATGAGCCACACATATTGTGTGAGGGGTATTGATACACCCTGGTTGCCCAAGCCTCGATAGGTGGAGGGGGGTTCGAACCCTTGACCCACTGGCTAAAAGTCATCTCCTTAAGCCGATGAGTCACAACTCAGTGCATATCAGTCTTTTATCGTATGTATGGTAAAAATAAGCTTTGGTACTTCATGCAATATAATCCTGTTTTTATTTTCCTCATTTTTCTGGGATTGTCGATCATCTAAACAGCTAGCCTGTACATCAAGTATCAGCATAAATGACTGTTTACAACAGCTAAGCAATATACTGGCATCACAGGAAGAGAAGCAACTTAAACAGGTTTCTAGCAATGATTCAAAAAATTCAGTTAATGCTGTTGAAATCCCTAAACTCTATATTATCGAAGCACTACCAGCTTCTTATTCTGGTCTCATTTTGTTGGGTAGAAATGAGAAATATACCATAGCTGCTCGTCAATTTTATAAATCTGCTATGCTTGGAGATGTGAGTTTCGTCTTTGAATTCTATTTCATTATATATCTTTTTATTAATTGTCCTCTTATACTTTATATTTGATTTCTCCTAGTTACTATGCAAATCGCTTTGAATTCTGTTGATCACTCTGAACACCAGTACATGGCTATGCAGCTTATCGCTTGCTTATTCTAGACATTCAGATTTCGTTTACTGGTTTACAAGATCTAATTATTCTCCTGCGTCGTATGATTTTTCTGAGATGCTTTGTAAGGACGTTGATTCAAAGTTACAGCGATTTCTAGTTGTATTTTGTAGTTATCATTCTTGTAGCGTGACATATGATTCGTGTACTCAAGTGACCGTAGTCAAAAAAAACAACTGTTAATTGGGTTTAAAAAGAACCAAACTTAATATTGATCTCACTTAAGCATTGTCCGTGAATCGAGGAGTCTCTTCAAATGGGTGTAAACTTGGATCTTTTCGTTGATTGAGACTACTAGTTAAAGAGCTTTTTGACATCAATTTCATGTCCTGTATCTGGTACGTGGAATAAAAGCTAACTGTTGATGCTGTTTGGTTTCTTGAAGCATAGATTCTTTGGCATTTGTTGAAGGAAGTGGATATGAGCCTATCTTTTTATCCTCTCGGTATACTTACATCGTCTCTTTCATTGAAAAGATACCTGGTTACGTATTAAAGAACGAGTATGCTGCTTTGTAGTCTGCTCTGTCCTACTATGCACCTGTGAAGTATAACCTCAGAATGTTTAAAAAATGAAAAGAATCCAGGATTTCAACCACAGGAATCGTTATAGCGTTGCATGCGTATGGTATAATCACTGAGGAAGTAATTTTGAAGTTGGGTAGAGGGTACTAGGCGAGAAAGGAAAGTTAGTTGATAGGTCGTAAACATTCACCAACGGTGGCGGCCTGAACTTGTGTTGCGCTTGTTCTTTGCATGCCGCTGTGAAGTGCGGCAAATGGAATTTTCGCATTTCTAGGTTGATTTTTTCTACCTGTCTAACTTAATGAACCTTACAATTTATTGTTATTCCCTTGGGTTACTAGTAAAACATAGGGCTTCAGTAGCATGCCTCCATTGCACTCTGTTCTCTGCAGTCTTTCCAACCTGGCGCCATGACTGCCTTACGATAAATCTCTGATATCCCCCATCATAGTTACACATCATTAGTAAGTGTAAGGGGTGAAACGTACCATCAATTTGCTGTTCTATTGTGAATTTGTGATTTATATAGGCCTTAGTCATCATGTGGGTGATTGTTAACATGATTTGCATCATCACAGAACATGGTTATTTAAACTGTAGGATTTCCCTAACCGACTACTTTTAAGGCCAACTACCAAGACCAATTAGTCAGATTTCGGATTCGGATTCCACTATAATTGCCTCAATTTGTGTATCTATGACTCGTAATCTAGCCAACGGATATTTATATAGGTACTAAACTGCATTTTTTGGATAATTATTTATTACTTTGTAGTCTCTAGTTTAGTTTCATAAATCCATTCGAAAAGTTTCATTTCATAATCTAGTCATAGGTAAACAAACCATAAACTATTATTATTATTATTTGGTTACTTACTTCTGTCTTTATTGTATCCAGATGCGTGGTCGATAAATGCTAGTTTCATTTGTAATAATGTGTGTTTTCCCCTCATGTTTAAATCTGTAGACAACTAAAATTGATTTGGAAACAAGTTAAAATTAAACACTTCCACCAGTAGCATAACTCAGCAATCACATCATATTCGTACACTAATAGGCTATTGGCTTCGTCTAAGTTTTCAAGGTTAATCATACTATCTAACCTCGATAACTTTCGGTTAAAAGTCAAGGTTGGATTTTAGGCAAATACTTCTCAAAGATTTGGATTTCATTCATAGAACAAGTAGATTTTTTCAGCTTTGTAAATATAATCATCGAAGGGGTAAGGTTTCTTTAGCTTGACAACTTGAATGCATACATGATCTGGTGCATAATTGTAATCCTAGTTACTTCCAGTAACCTAAGTGTGAATTTTTGAATTATCTTCACTTTATGCTCAAAAAAATACCGTTTTGAGCATTAGATTTAACTTTAATTTGGAAAGTTATTTTTCATAAAGTCTAGTATTATAGCTTTATTTCGTCAACAGACTGACACTGCTATCAGAAAATGGCACACTTTCATACCTGGTATTTTTTCTGAGAAAACACTTTATAGAGTAGATTACAAACAATATCACACTCAATGCCTTTTTGATGATATGAAATTGCTCATGTCTAACTTCAGGATATTTTGATTCTGGTGTCTATGCGCATTGAGGAGCTCTTTCAATCTGTCGAAAGTTCAGGAGTCGTATAAATCTCATCTCTTATCTGTGTTATATTGAATATCACAGGTATTTCAGCAAATGTATATAGCATTAGAGTTGATACAATGGTCAGACATTCATTATATACTAAATTAGTCACGTTATTTCATAAGGAAAAATAAATCAACTTTTAAGAGTAATATTGCCTTATTCAGCTTTGATCACACTTTGGACACTCATGTAGTTAGTGAAAAAGGTAAATCTAAATTATAATAACCTGTTTTTCAATTTTTGCAAGAAAACTATATCTGTAAAGAAAATTAACATTGTTTAGTTATGATTAAGAACACGATATTATTAGCTGTTCTATGCATCATTATGAAACTCTTAAAATATGACAGTAATAGCAATTTTGAAGGAAGTCAAAAAAAAACACTCCTCTTATGCATGTTAAATATTTCTACTTTATAGCAACTTCTCTCTCATCTATTTGTCTCATCTGATAATTAGCTGAATATTCGACAGTTGCGAGTATTAATCTATTCATTCACGGAATGAACAGTCATTTGACATAGAACATCATTCTCTGCTATGTAAAAGATCATATTGGCTGATTGTTAAACTGTATACAATTGTATTCCATAATCAACTCATATAAAAATGAGTAGTCAGTTTTTGTATTCTTTTTACTTCTAATAAAATAGGTACCTTGGACATTATATCAAAAGTTTTTGATTGTTTGTTGGGGTAAACCTCATGAGATACAATCGAAGGTGATTTCTTTTCCAATTGCTGCCTACCAACTACCTGGTGGTATTCATGTTGGTTATAGGTAAGTTCAGTTTTTATCTTTAATAAATAAAATTCTATTTTACGGAAAAGGTCTCAATTTAACTGTTTTCAGTGTTGTTGACATTCTAAGTTTTATGACTTATGAGAATTTCCCTGTAGAATTCAGTGGTATACCATGGAAAGAGATTAGATGTTTGTAATACTAGTAAAAGTATACTTTCATGTTTTCAGATATTGTCATTTTATACTTTAAATTCAATTACAACACCTCATAAACATAAAGGTACAACAAAATGGAATGTTAAATCATAAGATTTAGTACAGCAGAATGAAGGACAAACAAAAACGGAAATAGTGTCATCAAAAGTTATTGAAAGTCACGGAACTAAAATAAACGAATTAACGTACATAGAAAGATATGATAAAGCAGTTAAGGTGAAGAATAAGGTTTAGGTTCATCCGTACCACTGATATCACTTCTGAGCCATATCCACAAAAGTCTGCATTTTGAGATGATGGAGAATATTTGTAGCATAGGAGAATCATTTTGATGGGTTTGAGTTCTCTGAAGTAGATTGTTTAATCGTAGAGCTTTTGTTGTTATTCTAGAGAACATCGTTAGCACAAACTTCAGAAAGAAGTTAACAAAAAGGTTTCATCAACGATTTATTTAGTAACTTGTCCTGATAACCTTGTGTGTGCTTGGTTACTTCTGCCAAGATCTTGTCATTGTCTCCATGCTTACTTCGATTAGTTATCTTGATTACCTGAAATTTGGCCTTCTTGTTGTTTCTTATTGGTTGATAGATGGGTCAATGTCAGCTCAACCCCATCAAAAGGTCTACATTTTGTTACACGACTGAAATCGAAGGTTAGAAACCTCATGAATCGATGACACGTTTTACTGTTGTTACTCTTAACTTTTTTCCAACTTAACCCTACTTCAGCTAACGTAGCAAATCATAATAGACGGTGCGTAGACATTTATAAAATGTCCCAGCCATCGATAAAGATTCGAAGTAAAACATTACACAAAAGTTCACATCAAACTATTCCATTTCTCAGAAACCCGATAGCAATAGATAAGCGAAATTCACAGTACGATAAACAATTAGTATACTAGCAAACAAAGTGCCAGAATGTTGAGGATTTTAAGTGAGGTAAGAAAATGAATATATTCAGATTGCTTTTTAGCAGTGTTACAATGTCTCTTCAATCGTTTCATTGTTCCAGCCAGTACCGAATGCCGATACAGCCTTCACTGTCTAGAATCCCCATTCTGTCATGTTTTACTGAACTAGAATAGCTTGCATTGCTATTATCTACATATGACATAGATGATTTCAAGGTTCTTGTTCTTTCTGAAGCACTTATGTCGACTTTTATCATGCCATAGTATTTACTAAATGCCGCCTTTATGTTGAGAAATACAACCAATTTTGGGGTCGGTAAGTGTACATGTGCTCCAGAACCTGCCATAGGGTGAATATCTGATCCATACACCCACGCCCAAGTCTGAAATCTGCCTGATTTTCCCAGGTTTTTTGTCCATAAGCTCCACTTAGACGTCTGATAAGTATAGAACCTAGAATCTTAAATACTAAGTTCATCGGGATGATTTCCTTTCGTTATCACGAGAGGAATTTTCACCTTTCTTGAAGACTGGGGCAATCAATGATTGAGACCATTCAGGGGGGTCGTATCCGGCTTCCGCACACTAGTTAACACTTCAGTTAATTTAACCAACAATCCTCTACCACCGTCTTTGAATACCTCTGATGCTAGTCTGTCTTGTCCTATTTATCTTCCTCGTTTCAGATTGCTCACAACTTTTTCGACTTCTGCAAGTGTTGGAGGTCCTGTCTCAATGTTGTATTTAAGATACTAATGGATAGTGGGTCGCAGAAGAGTAGCTGGAGACCAGCGGAACTGTTCGCCGAAGTGTGTTGGAAGTAGTCATAAAGTTTGTGTATCTGAGTAGTTCTGTGTGTGAAAGAAATGATAATCTTAAGTGGATATCTAAAGCCAGATTGAGGTACACCATACTGGGTCACGTTAACCTGGCTGTTAAAGGCTGGGTCTAGTATGTATTTTTATGGGGACTTCTCTACGCCTGTGAAACCCGAGCTGTGGGAATTGAGGCTTTTATGTGACTATGTGTTCGATCAATGTTGTCCCTATGGGATTGTTGTTATCCGATGCAAGCAATGTGTGAGTACTTCTCAGGTTAAGCGTTTGGATTTGACAGAAATGGTTTTTCAATATGTAACACCACCTTGAAACTCTGGCTTTGATAGGTGAGACACGTGTTAGGAATGTCATCTCTGCACTTTTCATTCTGTTCACTATGTGTTGCCTTTGAAACTAGTTGGAAGAAGCGGGAAGGCTATAAGCTTGTGACACAACACAGTGGGATAAAGGATAGTTGTGTCATGAAATATCCAACAATTGAATTAGCTGTAATGGACAATGTTTTTTTCTGTATCCATGCTTGAGAATGTTTCTTTAATAACCTCTTTCTGTTTTTACTTCTATCCCCCTCAACTTTTTCCTTTATTATCCGTATCACTTTTATGCATCACTATCCATGTGGTACGGAGTTTGTATTTCAAATAAAAATAAACAAAATGAACAAGTGTATGTCTACTCATTATTATTTCACGTTCTAACGTTAAATAGTATCTTGTACTTTTTTCTTTGATGGATATAATTGGTTTGTTGCAACTACGGGTCGTCCATCAATTAGACAAGTGATGTCTGTCAATCTTCACTTTTTTTCATCTCATAGACTCTAATAACAAAGATTTTGCTTCGATACTTACTTCAAATACCAGTTTATCTGCTAATTAATGCAATAACTGGGCAGTTTATGATTTCTGGCTTGGCGCTTTATAAACTGACCTACGGGGTCCGACTACTGACCAGATTTTTATTTCACCTCAGTCACCAAGGAGTTTGCCCGACTACCGTATGAATTCGTGAAGGGTTATTATCGCTTGGTCGTACTCATACTGGCTGCTCAGTCAGGACTTCTCATCGCAATCCAAATCTAACTAAACTAGAGAGGGGGAGCATCATATTTATTATCATTCTGACTATCTGAATGAGATAGCCATAGTTTTAGAAATTTTCTGGCCAAACAGTTGACTTTTTATCTGAGGTAATCTTCTTTAATCATGCTTAGGCATATTTCGTTTCCTATTCAGGTTTTTTCCTCTACTCCATAGTAATCCATAGTAAGTATACCATGTAGAAAAATTATCGCTACATAGTTAAGTACACAGACAACCATTTGATTTCGTCAGTGAGTGGAATTCGTTCGTTTTGGACGTCTTGACTTTTCGATAAACAAGTTCCTTCTTCCTGTTTAGTCACATAGTTTTCTAAACGCAATATTTTGCTTTTAAACATATTGGATAGAAATACGCTGGCCTTAAAAAAATTCTTTCTTTCCTTACAATTGATCCTATGCTTTGTGTATGTGCGTGTGGGACGACGTAAAGTGTACCAGTCTGTGTAGTATGTCTACGCTAGAAACAGGTTTTGCTTTACATTGTTTTTTTCATTATTTGTCTAAGGATCTGCGAGTGGTAATCTTACCTTACACGCATTACTGCATTCCCCTCCCATGCCATTTCAAATGAGCCTTGGTACGATAACGTATATTCTCTAACAAAAATTCCTGTGTATTGAACATATTATTCCTAAAAATTTAATCTTGTGTTAAGATTCTATCTGCTCGTTTGCTATACACTCCCCTTGAAGGGGATAATTTAGGCAATAAACTAACCACTTAATGAGTTTTTTTTCAGGCCAGACAGCGCACGCAGACACTCACGATCACAGTTCGACTGGGGGGGGATGTGGAAATCCTCCAAAGAGGAAGCTTGAAAGCTGTAAAAGAATTTCTAGAAGCATGCATTCCAATGAAAATCAACAGATATGTGGATACAGACTTAATCAATGATCTACTTAAAGAGGAATACAGCTTCCCATCTCCGAAGGCCAAACTGACCGAACACGTCAATAATGAAGCACTATATGCCAGCACAAGCTAGCACACTCTCACTCTAACAAAGATTCTCTACCAGGATGACCGAGTGAGGTTGAAGATCTAAGAGGTCACGGTGTGACAGAAATCGTGTAAAATTCGAATATGCTTTAATTCTTTATGGGGACATCAACAGTCCCGATGGTGAAAAGTTCATGACGAAATGTCAAAACTCAGAACCATCATCATCTTTATGCTGAGCTACAAATCTTTTCCATCGTTTCACTGTTGACATTGTGTGATAAAAGCTGAGTAAGACTTTCATTCATAATGCATGAAATGATTGAGTGGACAATAATAAATGCGCGAAACGATAGCAACACGATGCGATACTTGGACTGGATACTAGTAGCTATTGTTCTCGCTCAACCCTTATACTTCACTGAGCAACAAAAATAAAAAAACAAAAACCGGCCTGTAGGTGTAAGGAAGATAACTTTACTTGACAAAAACATGATTTATATAGTTTTTTCTCAGAAAATGAGACAATTAGGTCACAAGTTGGATATTTATTATCTTTGGTTAGCTGAAGGATAAGATTTTCAATAAGGTTTCTCCGCCTACAATGTAAAACTAAACTAAGGCTGAAATCCAAAACTTCGCGTAACTTTAAAGGGCACCCTGGTAACTGCTGTAATAGCTGATCAAGTTCGGGTATTCCGGCTAAAAAGGGTAGTTTTTCATAAAATAGAGAGACGTGATTGGTTGTCTCAGCATTCGTTTGGGTGGCCTTTGAATTCATTCCAAAACTTCTACTTTGGCGGTTGATGGAATGACCTTGAATGCTGATTTTGGCTTAGGCTGCTTCCTATCAGTGCATGAATGGAAAAAAGCTAACCGCCAGTTAGTTTTATTTCAAACTGACGTCGCCTCACTATGACGTTTTCAAGTAAAATCTATATGTAACTAGGAGCCTGTTTGGCTTATTGAAGTGAATTATAGATGGGAAACTGTACATGTGGATTTAACATGTATAAAGCTCAAATACTGTTTCATCACCTATATTTTAGTATCTCATTTCACATTCAAACTTTGTGTTCAAACCCAGTTGATGAACGACTTAATCATTAGGTTATTTGACTTAGAGTTCAGTTCACTACTAGTGAGTATGCTCAATTTTTATTGGAAATAATTTCATCCATCCGTTTTTTGTCTGTTATAGACCATCTCCCGGAGAAATTTCTGTTGGTTTAAAACGTAAAGGCACCATTCTGCAAAAACGTTTACAACACACTACTATTTCTGAAGGTACTAATAATTCTAGTCTTCTTGAGCTTCAAACAAACAGCACTTTCGGGGTTTGCCAGAAGTATATTTGTTGTATGCAGGTTGTGCTGTCGTTGGAGAGACATTTCAAGTAAGTGTTATTTTATGAGGCGTTTCTTCTGTTCAACATCACATTTTAGCATATATATGAATGTTCATCTACAGGCCTATCATCCTACTTTGGTGTATGATTTATTTTTGTCCATATGTAATTATGACTACTGAAAGCCCAGGTGAATTTGTAGTTCCAACACTGATGACTTGGCCTTGAACTTCACGTGTGTCTAAAATACAAAATAATATTCTCATCACATCGGTCGTAAGTAAAAAGTCACTTGGTAAGAAAAAAGTAGTATATGCTGAAGTATACTGACATGGAACATCACATGGATTATAAATCGAATTAGCATGCGTAACAAACAGTATAAAATAAACAATCCCAGCAAAAGCAACATGATGGCTGTTTAAGCTGGAAAGTAATTTGTTTTGTCAGTGATCATCTGTCTAGTTATTAATCCTAGTTAGTTCTTATTCTTCTTGTAGTGCTTGTCAGAGATACCGTGCAATAAAACCTTCGTAAACTGAAACCTTTGTAAAGTATATAGAAATGAAGACCCTGAATTAAGAATAACATGTTATCTTGTGGAATAAACTTGCTTCCTATTTATTTCACCACTAATCACTATCTATTAGGTAGTACTAAGTATAAAGAACATGAATTAATCTCGTATAGTTTTGATAAAATAACTGTTGATCTTAGGTTGTAATGTTGATATAAGGAGTAGAATTTGGCCATTGTGGTAGAATATAATACTATTTTAATTTGTTTATTAGATGTACCACACAATAAAATAGCATTATTTACTGGATAACATTTCGGACACATTTTATTGACCATGTGTATATATATGTATATATCATGGACCATATAGTTCTAACTCTCCAATAAACAAACATATACAATAGGAATGTTTAACCACCTGTTCCAGATATAGGGTGAATTTTACTAACCACATCACAAGGAAGGAGATAAAATTCGAATTATATCAACCCATTCTCAAAACTCTAGATATAACATGATATTACTATGGGAAATAAACTGTGTCCCAAACGTAATCCAGTAAATAATACTGTTTCACTGTGTATGATATGTTTAATAAACAAGATAAAATGTTAGGTTTTAGTATGGCCTTTTGATTTTAAAAACTGATCAATTTTGAGGACTACTTTAGGATTCATGCAAATTAGTGCACACTGAGATAGAATTAAGTACATTATGCTTCTTTTCTTTGAGAAACTTATGAAAATAACAAATATGTTTCGTGATACATAGTTATGATCGTGTTAAATTCAGGTTCTCTAAATATTTTACTATAAGCTGAGCATAATACAATCACCCTCAGGAGGTAAATGCGGACTAAATTGCAACGCTTCTCATCATCATAGAACAGAGTATAGAATGGCAGTCAACTCTACACCTCAACTTCATCGACTTTGAAAAGGCTTTTGATAGCGTCGACTGAGAAGTAATTTATCAGTTGCTTCAACACTACGGAATACCACAAATTTTTATCAATCTCATTCAACGACTATATGAAGACGCCATATGCCAAGTAATTCACAATGGAAGCTCAGTGATGCCTCTGAAGTGAAGACAGGAGTAAAAAAAGGCTGCCTGTTGTCACCTATGATCTTCCTGATTGTGGTGGACTAGATCATGCAAGAAACAGTGAGGAGTGAGAAGAGTGGGACACAATGGCTGGACAGGGGAAAAGAACCTAGAATATTTGTATTTCGCCAACGGTGATGATTCATGTTTAATGTCTTGTAGCACAAACTGGAAGATCTACAGGCGAAAACAAACAAGTTGACAGAAGAGGTGAGGCAGGGCAGCGAAGGAAGACGGAACTTCAAGTGAACGTAGAGAAGACAGAGGTGAGGAAGATACCCAACCAACACCAACAGCAACAACAAGCTCCAATGACCATGAACGGGAGAAACTTAAAGGAAGTAGCCTCCTTCACCTATCTAGGCAGCACTGTTTCAACTACAGATGGCACAGGCACAGACGAGGACGTCAAAGCAGCCAGGATCGGAAAAGTAAGACAGGCGTTCATTAACCTGAAAACAGTGTGGAGATCTTCTGCACTTACCATAAAGTGTAAACAAGATCCGAATTTTCAACACTAATCCAGTCAATTCAGTGCTCGTGTATGGTTCAGAGACTTGGCGCGTTACAAAAAGCATTTCCAATAAACTACAGACACTCATCAACAACTGCCTACGTTGGCTCGTTACTGAAGCTCAGATGGATTGCCAGAAAGAATAAGCAACAAGAAACTCTGGCTGCTGACGAATCAACCAAGAACCTATCACTCAACAAATATGCAGAAGGAAGTGGAGATGGATTGGGCATACACTGAGAAAGCCGACTGGGGACATTACGCGCCAGTCGCTCGAATGGAACCCCGATGGGAAACGACGAGTTTGGCGTCCGAGGGTGACATGGAGGAAATGGTGTGAGGAAGAAATGAGAGGTTGTGGGCTGTCGTGGAACCAAGTTCAAAAGACTTCAGAGAACAGAGGGGAATGGAGACGTGCTACTGAAGCTGTATGTTCCACAAGGAACCCAAGGGACGAATAATAATAATATAAATCTGTGTAAACCTCTCATGAGTACGCAAATATCAGTGGTTATTCAGTTCATTTATACATAATTGTTTCATAAACATTTTCTCTTTAAATGAAGATACGAGAAACTTGATTAGGTACCTTGGTTGAAATATGCATATGACTGTCAGATCTGAAGCTTCCCTCAGTACTAACTTAATTTAGAGGGAAAATTGTTCAATACAGTGAAAAACAAACGTTCATATATTAAACTATAAGTTACATTTATTGTATTCAAGCGATTTGGTGAATTGGGTTTGAACGCTAGAATCATCGGTTAGAGTTCGAACTAAAACCTAAGTATATCTTTCATCAAAGAATGAATTTCACTTTCAGTTCGTGAACTGATGATTCGAATTCCGTCATACCTACCAAGGTGTAAGCAGTCATATAGTATCATTAGCTTTGATGTTTTGGTTTCATATCAAAACTCTAACTCGTACGCAGTTGAGTCACAGTATTGATATATTTTATGATTAATTATGCAGTATATTCTTATCATGAACGAATTCCTTGGGAGATGTTTTAGAAGCACTACATTATATGAGCATAGCCTAGAGTAGTTGTCTGGCGTATCGTTGTACTCTGTAAATGCTCTTTCACAGTCTACATATTTGAAAAGTTGTCATATTTAGCTTATTCATATGCGAAATCGGAGTGAATATCGTGAATTTTTAAATCCTACACATGCCTACAACACAAGTGTATAAATGACGACAGAAGATAAATGTGGTCATACAGAGCATCAAATGATGGAAATCGTTAATTAAAAGGTATTAACAGTAATCTAGACTGTACTTGTATGATCGTTTCTGAGGGTATTTATTGTAAGTATCCAATAACGAAGCTTTCTGTCATCCTACGATTTCGCATATGGTTCACATTCACTGTTATTAAAACCTTCTAATTCTCCACTTTTAGCAACTTTGTATTCACAATAGTAAAATGGTGGACAGTTAACATTGGGTAATTAGTAGGTTCAACGTATGTTTCAGATGTTATCGCAGGAAAATTACCGTCACTTGAACAGGAACTTTTCTATACAAAGACTAGAGTACTAAAACTCTTCAAGGTACTTTTATTTCATATACGTCTGAATGCTTACACTTGCTACCTCCATGTGGTAGCTGAAGGAAATGGGTTGGATGGAATAATTGTTTCCTGACTTACTGTCATACTAGAAAGGTCAGATGAATAGTAGTGAGGATAAAAACAGCTACTATCACAGTGTAAGTGGTTTACACTGTCATGTGAATGTGAAATTTAAGTTGTATGACTGACTACCGAGCCGTATAACAATGTTTTTTTCCTCAGGTGACCAACATTTTGCCTGTACTCTCCTTTCTCTTGGTAAGAGAAGTTAGAGAAAGTCGACAGTAAAATTGTGCACATTGTGGCTTTCAATTTCCTACTATCAGTTCTTTTAAGTACAAGTAGCTGCACAAAGACGAATAACCGTGAAAAAGCATATATGACCAGTCTTATGTGGATGTTCATTAGTCTGTTTGACCATACAAAAATGATTTACTTTCTTTTCTATATATTCCAAGAAAAAATTAACTTATATGATGACGTAAGCAGGCAAGAAGTATCAACCATCTGAACTTTTCTAACATAAAAAATCCATGTAATCACAACCTACCCACTTCACGTTTGTCTTCACTACTTCTTCAACGCCAACATTAAACCCTCTGCAGTTTCTTCAGATGATCACCTTGTGACGATACCTAATGATTCAAGACAGTGAAACATCAATTGTAGTCTTCGATAGCTGCACTGCTAGTCTCATTGGGGACTCTCAACCTTTGAGTCTTATGCTAATTTGAACAACAAACCTAATTAACCAGAACTGTGCAACCAATAGTCAAGAATGTATGCTATATGTATCTAGTGCCTAAGTGTAGTAAACACTTCGCCAGTGGAGTGAATCTGTGAAATTTATTATGCAGATCTCAGTATGTTCAGTGTCTAGTTCCTATGACTTGCCTCAGATTTTGGAGCAGAAAGTCAACTTCCCAACTAAGTCTTAGTTGATGGTTTTCTGTATGTTGTTCGACTGAGTAGTTCTGTTTGACTTAGTAGACGCAATGGCACTCGTTGATGTCCACTTATCCTCTTTTCCTAAAGGATTATTCACTCAATTTGTACAACATAAAGGGTGAGTCGTGGAATACGATTTCAGTCGTGATGCGGAGGACAGAACATACACAAATGGTCATACTCAAGCAGGGAGGTTGGGTCAATAGACAAGAAGTATTGGGGTATGTATGCAACCCTATACTTACTGACGGACAGCGGTGATAGCCTACTACGAATCTATTCTGAAAATTGCTCATCCTTCATCAGCATTAAACAAGATGTAAGCTTGTAAGGTTTTATAGGAGGTTGTTATTTGTAGCAACAAAAATCAGTGGTATCTAC